AAAAAAAGTTTAGTTTTCAGATTGAAAAAAGCAAAATCCCTCCATGGAAAGGTTGTTGTCACACTACACCACACACACACACCATTAGCTCTATGACGTCTCCATATTCAACATTAGGAAAACTCAGCGGATACAATTTCCACTGCTGGGCAGGGTTACAACAATGCAAATAAATAATCCACACAAGCACTTTGAAAATAGTCCAGAATATCATGGAAAGGTCATCTTAAGAAAACCTTTTCTCTATTGTCACTGGATAATTCAGCATGAGAGGTTTGCAAATAAACATCTAAACAAAGCAGTTTCCTTTGGAAACAAGTACTTCAAAGTTAAAATATCAAAAGTATTTAGAATCTGCACATGCCAACGAGATTGACCAAAAACGTTTTCATGACCTATGACTGGAGAAGCCCCTGGGGGATTTGGAGCAGTCTTCTTACTAACCAAATCTGGGGTAAAATGTTTGTAGTTTACCTCATGACCATAAATTCTCCATGATTTTCTATGGCCTTTGTTTCCTTTGTAGCATCACCGCATCCAAACTTGGGTAGGAAGCCTTGTCTGAAGCTAAAAATCTACGTCAAGCCAACAAGTAAGTTTCTTTCCTTTTTTCTATTTCATATTGTTGTATAATTTTACACTTCTTCTCCCTGATTTGACTATGAAAGTAAAGAGATTTCTTGATTACAATCACAACACACCATTGAGTTATTAGAAAATATTACTGAAGTACTACTTGAACTCAGTGGAATATTAACCGAACTCAAGTTTCATATTTAAAATGTAACATGTACACAAACTCACTAAGCTGCTATTCTTTCCTCTAAAGCTCAAGATGTGAAACAATTTAAAGTGCTTTAAATTCTGAAATTGTGGGGGGTAGGGGGGTAACAGGGACTACGCTACGTCGGACTGGACCAGCTACAGGGGCCTGGCTAGCTACGGGTTTTTCAAGGGTGCAAAGCCTGCTCTCCAACTTATTGATCCTATCCTCCAGAGCTGCAAACAGGCTACATTTATTACAAGTATCGTTGTCACTAAGTATCGTTGTCAGAGAAGTAACGAAATATCTGACACAATGAGCAGGGAAGTGCAGGATGGACAGGTGAAGAGGCACAGGGAGTAAATACTGTCAATATAATTAGTGAGTGAATCAATAGTGAGTGAGTGAGCACTTTGGATATTGCATATGAAGATTACACTATGAAATAAGACCTTATGTATAAATTTTTAATCAAATTGGCTACACAGATAAGCTACACGAAAACAGCACTGTGCCTTGTAACAGGAACAGAAAGTGATACTCTACCAACACCAAGGCATATAGAGCCGAAACCAAACAAGGAAGTGCTTAACTACCTGGTATAACTCAAATGTGCATCTTAAAGCAAATAATCTGTAAGGTGGAGAGGAAAGGCCATCTCACTAATTAGGAAAGTCTTGATTTGGAAAAAGCGTTAATTTCTCTGTTTTTGAAAATGCCCTCCATAAAACTACAGCATCTTACCATTCATCAGTGGAAAACAAATAAGAGCCCCAGGTTTCTCTTCAAAGTGAGAGCTCTGATGAGCCAAACATTCCTTTGATCTGAACTAGTAATGACTTTATGAATTTCTTCACAAAAAATGTAATTATTAGAGAAAAAAAATCAGGGCCATCTCATATATATATTATTATATACAGTAACTTTCAAAACTACTGATTTATTTTTTTCAGTATTTACTTTATCCAAACAATCAGTGTGTCTATTACACTCCAGTCCTACAAAACCACTCAAAGACGCCCTAATTAAGGCTTTGATCTTAAATATAATCAGTCTTTTGCTATCAATGGGCTGAACACAACAGGCCTTTAATGTGCCAGTAATTAACCCCTTACTTAAAAAGCTATCACTTCACCTAGCTTCTCTAAGCTAATTATAGGCTAATCTCTAACATTTCTTTTATCTAAAAATAATTGAAAGAGTAATTGTACAACAGCTAGACTGGACAGGCCCCGTCCCCACCCTGATGTACAAAAATTGGATGGATGGAGGTCTGTGAATAAATTAAAACATTTTGTGATATGTTTACTTGCAGCTCATATTAATTAATGTTGTTCTGATGTTAACTCATTTTCAGATGATTCAGTGTACGACTCTGCAGAGCCCTTCCTGACTGACGATACCACTGGTGGCTGCAGCCTTGCTTTGCCGTCTGCCATGTTGCTCACCCTCCTTCTCATACTCCTCATCTCCTATTCATAGCAGCTTTCTGAGTCAGACCAAGCACCGCCCCACCGCCGCTACTACTCTGAAGAAAACTTGATGAAGGAAACTAATGTAGCTTCCTCTTACTGAACTTTGGCCTTTACCTCAATAATACTCAAAGGCTCGAACAATCAGAGGAGGCAAGAACAGTGGTGGGGGGAGCTTGAGGCTGCATATCAACTCTGTGTGGAATTTCTGGGATCATCCCTGCTCTTCTTTTAATGTTTCTGTCAAGCTGTCATATAAAATTGTGTTACAGATCCACAAGTCAAGGCTTTAAAGGATCTCATGTTAACATTTCCAGGTTCCATCTCTGAATATTGGTGCATAATGCTTTATTTTTAAAAACTGTGAGGATGATTTATTGTGTTTACATCCAACAGCCGCTTCCTGAGTTTTAGACATTGACTGAGATTTATATCCTGCTTAAGACACTAGAGATCTTGTCCTGGTGCATGGTCAATAGTCCAAGTAAATACAAGGTCATAATGACCAAAACTAGCAATATTGCCTTACAATGAGCCATGACCTCAGTTTCACAATCAACCATTGATCAGTGGCATAAGTATCAATCACAGCTAGCTAGGAAAAGGCTGCAAAGAGAGCAATACAAGATGGTGAAAGATGTGCTCTTAGGTCTCTTCCTCAGTTGAGCAATGGTCGCTCACTTTTCACTTTTCAATGTCCTTGACTACCTGCTCAAGTCTTCCTCTTTGTCCAGGATGTGCTCATCCTAGTCTGTCTAGTTCAATGAAACTGTGCACCTACCCTTGTTGCCACAATGGTGATTCTATCTTTACAGAATAACACGTGTGTCTTCCTCTTCTTCGTGCTTGTATTGGATGTTGGGGGCTTTGCATTTCTGAGGCAGGCTGCAACTTTCATCTGAAGTTGCCAACCACAAAAATTGTTTCACGATGCATATTTTATCCCTGTTATTAGTTACACTAGCTGGATTTGTCTTGCCGTGAAAGCTCAACTCTTTCTTAAGAATGGCTTTCCCTGCTTGAGAGAGTTGTCTGTCAGATACATTCATCACCCACTAGTCAAAGTGCTTGGTGTGAATTTAGCATACATCTGTCCGTTTCCACCATGCAGCAAGTAGCTCAGACTTCTGCTGTCTCATCTGTGACTATTCATGCTGTTCTCATCTAGAAGCTCTCGGTTCCTGGGTTTTGCCTATTGTGCCTAACTTTTATATGAATGAAATGGAGAAGAGCTCTGATATCCTATCTTGGAACACCGCTGAGCCTTTGGTCCAGATATAAATGACAATCTGGTGGACAAACACATCAAGTTCATCAGTCTAGATATAAAAACGTTACAGGCAATCATTGTCAGACTGTGAAATTACTAATCCATACCCATGCATACCGATCAGTAGTACAAGTTTGACTTTGTTTATCCGCATGACCACAATATGGGTGTCATCAGGACAGTACAATAGAGCAAACATTTTCCCATACACACAGTGGCCAGGGAAGCTGAAGAACATCATAACAAAGAGACCCTGCATAGATTTGTTTTTTGTGATTTGGTGCTATGGAATAAAATATAACTGAATTGATTGTCCCAGTGGAGCATTTGTCAAAGCTGGCAACATGCTGACCAAACAAAAACCACTGATGAACTGGTGTTTGTTAGGATTGGACAGCTTTTCTTCTTATTTATTTATTTATTTTCACCATTGTGAAATCAAACTCTAAAACATAATACACCAAAAACGAAACAACCATTGCTGAACCAAGGAGGGGGCATAAGAGTATGTCTTTCACCATATTAAAACGCTGTGATTGCAGCAATTTCCCAGCTCCGTGGTAGTACTCGTCTGCTTTGATCAGTGGTAATGGCAGTTTTCATATTAATGGTGGTACTTGTTTTTGTCATGTAACTGCACTGTTTAAAGGTTGGGGAAGCCTACAGTTAGCGCAGACTGAAGAAGTCATTTGTGTTGCAAGGTTTCTTCCACTGAAAACCATGTGTAGAGATCAAAAGAATAAAGTTCCTGGCACTAAATATCTTAATATCTTGCTGTGCAAGTGGTTTCAAGCTAAAGCTGATAATTGAAGGATTTTAGACAAGACACTGGATAAAAATCTTGGCAATATAGGTAACTTTCTTATTATTTAAATGAATACTTTCATCTGTAATTAAAGTCATGGTATTTAGGGATTATACAGGTTACAGACAGGCCCCTTATTTTCCCAGTAAACTCCCAAAAACCAAGCTATTAACTTAGCTGTAAATTATTAGTGTATTTGCAACAATGACCCAGACAATTACTAACTACAAACTGTAAAAGAAATTGTTTAAGTGTTGATAACTACACTATGAAGTATTGGCTTGTTATATTTAATGCAATTACATTTTTTTTTTGTTGGGACAGTACGCAATTTTACCTTCCCTGCGAGCAGCGCCATGTGACAGCAGGGAAGACAGAATCCCTTTAAAGTAGAAGAGCAGTCTTGCAAAAGCTAGATATAGGGAGGGGCAGCTTTCTGCCATAACTTTACTCAACTGTAACTTAGTTTTATCTTTCAAGAAAAGTGTACATTTATTATGAAAACTTACTGTGAAGTAACGTTAGATAGGGACTCATTTTCAGGAACGTATATGAGCAAAATAAGTTACCTTAAAATCAACCAAAATGTTATTGTATTTTTTTCTACTGTTCTAGGCAGCTGTTGGTTTCTGCACTTGTTGGTAACAAAATTAAACATATTATGTAACAGATTTACACATTTTAATTTCTGTGTTAAAATGTACAACTGCAGGTACAGTATGGAACATTTCCTAAATAAAATGCTCAAGAAATTACTAGACTAGTGGTACATATCTAAAATTAGAAACATCCTTTCTCAGAGTGATGCTGAAAGTCACGTTTATCACTTCTGTGCTGGACTACTGTAATTATCAGCATTTCCTAAAAACTCCCTGAGGAGCTTTTAGTTGATCCAAAATGCTACAGCAAGAGTACTGACAGGGACTAGAAAGAGAGG